CACATTTAAATAATATTATTTAAAATTTAAAATTGTCATACCAGTATTTGGTGAAAACATACTGCATAGCATTAAACACATCATGTGCAGATACATTTACAATAAAAAACTTTCATTTAATCATTAGCTTAACTTTTGTTGGTGTAAGACTGAATTTGACCTTGACTCATAAATGACCTTGACCTTGAAAGTCAAATTTTTAATTGTGCTTGAGTTTTGCTATAACTTGCTGCAACTCTGTAATTAACCTTTTCCCTTATATAAGCGTGTGTGACAGCTTTTTGTCCCCCCCTTTTTGTGGCCTCAAACAGTGAAAAAATGCCCTATTTAGGCCCCACACACTGTTTGTCGTTTGAGAAATGTTGTTAAAAAAGTGACCTTTTTTTCGGCGTGGCTCCCCATCAAAATCATACATCAGGGGGTTGCCAGAAGGGAGATGTGCCCTCTTGTGTTTGGGGGTTTGAAAGGGGGGGGCAGTAGTCCCCCTCATCACCAAAAAAATTTTCGACATGTCACAGGCTAAAAATGGTCTCAGGTCGATCTTAAGGTGACGTGAAACCAACACTGAAAAGCCTTTTACTCTATCTCATTGCATTGAGAAGTTGTAGCACTTTGAAATCAGTTTTGATGGAAAGAAACAATGCAAAATAGTGATTTTTCTCAATTTTGAGACGTCCCCACGTTGCCATGGTAACAGGAAATTTAAGATTGAGCATGTTGTTACAGAGGTTATGGTTCAGTCAACATATGTGCCACGTTTCATCAGGATTGAAGCATTTTTTATAGTTTTATAGCAGTTGGAACTTGTAACAGGAGGCTTTTCAATGAAAACGGACATTTTTCACAATATGCTCATGGGGTAAAAGGTTAATGAATGAATTGTTTTCATACTTGGAAACCTAAACTCTTAGGACAAGACCTTCAAGAAGAACAAACTGAATTGACTTTGACTTCTAAATGACTTTGATCTTGAAAGTTTTGCTAAAATAGATGGTAACTTTGTTATACATGGACAAAGCAGATTCCTTCTTAGAGAAAACAACATTTATGACAAATATTGAATTATTAAGTTTGCCCTTAACCTTATGATAACATTGGTGCATGACTGTCATGGTTGAACCATTGAATTTTGCTTAGATTGTAATTGCAATACTGTAAAATCATTATTATTCGTGGGGCACAAATTTTCGTGGTTTTCGCGGGTTAGGTCAATCCACGAATTTAAGATCCGATGAATTTTTATCCCAACAAATACTTCTTGCCATTTCTCTATTCTATATATATCAAGCATGCATCAGCGCTTTTCCACCGATTTTCGTGTAATGAATGCCCAGAGGCAAGGATTAAATTTATTGACAAGCGCTGTGTGATACATAAAGATATGTACACCTGGTAAGTAAAAATTGCGCAGCAATTAAGTGTAAGATTACTTTGCATTAGGTTATTTATTTTATTTTATTTTTTTTACAAGAAATTGAAAATCCACGAATTTAAGAACCCACGAAAATGCCCGTTTTGATAAAACCACGAAATTTCATGCCCACAAATATAAGTGAATTTGCAGTAACTGTTATCTATTTACAATTTTGGTTCATATCTTGACAAAACAACATGTTGAAGAATTCTAGATTGACCTTCATATACTTTAAAATGATATTGACTGTTAAGGTTAGATTGTGTCGAAGCATGTACAGGAAATGGCATGGAGTCAACCTAAATATAAGGGATGTGTACAGGTTTACGGAAATGGGATAAAGTCAACCTAAATTGTGGAGACATGTACAGGTAAAGGACAACCAACATGACATAAAGTCAACTCATATATTACAGATATGTACATATGGCATAAGTCAATCTAATTGTTACAGATATTTATGGTAAAGGAAATGGCGTAAAGTCAACCTAAGCATTATGAGTTAAGTACATGTCAAAGGAATGTCATTATTTCCTCCAAATATTAAGGGTGTTGTGTGTATAGGAACAGGAAGTGACTTGTTAGATGCCTACAGGTATAGTACAGGTCATTAAATCAACATAAATGTATGAGAGCTTTGTACAGGAACATGAAATGTTCAACCTAAATAATGAACAATATGGCATGAAGTCAATCTTAATGTTAGCCAAAGGTGCAGGCATAGGAAATTGCATAAAGTCAACCCAAATGATAGAGATGTGTATTGTATAGAAATTTGTATAGTCAACCACGAAATTGGGAGATGTATTCAGGTACTGGAAATGGCAGGAAGTCAACCCAAATTTCAGATATGTATACAGGTACAGGGAGAGGCATGAAGTCAAACTAAATGTAAGAAATGTGTACAACATAACATTAACCATAATGTAAGATTTGTGTATGCCATTTAAAGTCAACCTAAATGTTAAGAATGCTAACAGTAAAGAAAAGTGCATGAAGTTTCCCTTATTATAAGCCTAAATTTCAAGTACAGGAAATGGTTTAAAGTTAATTGAAATGTTAGAGATAATTGTACATTAAAAGCAAATGGCATGAAGTTAACCTTAATGGTATGATGTCAATTTTACGGGGGTCAACCTAAATCTTAGAGATATGTACATGTGCAGGAAGTGGCAGTTGGTAGATGTGTACTGGTAGAGGTACAGGAAATGGCATGATGGTGATTTAAAGACACGTTCGGTAGTTTTTGTGCGTACTGTAATGCGCTTCCAAGAAAGATAATCATGGATAATTACTCTTCAATAAAAGAAGGTAGTTGAATAGTACTCTGATAACTGTTTAAAGATCCTGTATGTTGTAATTGAGGTTGCATACCACATTTAAATGAAATTATATATATGTTTATAATTATGCTTATAAAACAATTTTTAAACATCAAAGAATATGTAAAATATGTACTGCAAATATTTGTACATATTATATGTAATCATTAAAATATATGCATTCATTTCTTATTGAAAAATTTGACTTAGACTTTATAGAAAATAAATTTTTTATTACCTCTCTTTATTTACATGAAATTTTAAATTCAGTAATATCTTTATAAATAATGCTTTTGGAACTTACAAAATTGATAAATCTTAATTTGAGCATCATATTTATTATATAAAACCATAAAAAATATGTGTTACATGATCTTTAAATTTTGGCTACAAACAAATAATGAGTAATTAATACAGAATACATATTTCTCCATGTTCAGAAGGAGATCAGTTCAAAAGAATAAGAGGGCCGTTTAGACAACATCAGATAAAGGATTTCTCCTAGCATTAGTACGACAACATTGATGATGATGATTCTGTGCGCGTTACCCCATCCACTTGTGGTAGTGAGGAAAGTATGTCTCCACTTGATTACTGGCAGACAAGTGGGCAAAGAAGTTTAAAATTATATATCCACTTTCACCATCAAATATTTTCATGTTCAGATGTTTGCAAGTTCTTGTCTTGTGCGACCATAGCTGATATGTGCATGACCAATTCAACAATGTATCTTAGAACTGTCCAACTTACCACCAGTGTATTTCAAAGGGACAGTATTGAGAGGGGAGGACTTTGGAATCCCATACTTATTTTGATGCTTGGTTTTAACTAATAGAGTTTAAACAAACTAATTGAGCTACATGGTCAAGCATTTAATTCTGCTGAATAACGCTGCAGTTTTGTGTCTATCTGACTGCTCGTTCATAAAAAGAAAATTAAAAGAAATTATCTATGTCTGTCTGATCATTTTTATTCTTTTACTAGAGCTATTTATTTATTTATTTATTTATTATTTATCTTTCTATTTATTTGTTAAATAATTAGTTGAATGAAAGAATGAATGAATCAATTAATAGAACTACACGTACATGGACAGACTTAACAGAAATACACATACATGGACAGACTTAACAGAAATGGACAGACTTAACAAAAATACACATACATGGACATACTTAACAGAACTACACATACATTGACAGACTTAACAGAAATACACATATGTTGACAGTTTTAAGGAAATACACAGAAATACACATACATGGGCATACTTAACAGAAATACATATATGTTGACAGACTTAACAGAATGGACATACATGGACAGTTTTAACGGAAATAAACAGAAATACACAGACCTGGACAGTCTTAACAGAAATATTTATACATGTTTATTTCAATCAATTGATTAATAATTGATAAATTATTTCGTTTATTTATTAATTATTATTTTATCTATTTATTTATTTATTTAGATGTATAAAATTATCTATTTTACTACTATAATTGTATTTAGATAAAATTATAATAATAATCATTGTAAGCACTGTGTTTGGTAATTCACACATGACAAAATTTAACTGCTTGTAACCTCTTGTTGTATCAAAGTTATGTCCCAGGCAAGAAAAGCCGATGGACAGACTGACAGATGGACAAGGCGGTGACTTATATGCTTCCCCCCCCCCCCCCCCCACTAAGTTATTTTCAGTTAAGGGCAGCACTTAAATTACAAACCGCGTATATTACCGATGCTGGTAAATTTTGGAGACAGTTCTAAAAACATTGTACACATGACACATATCAGTCTTTTTAAGTTTGTCAAGCTAAGAAGACACACCTGCACAAATTAATTTTTTGCCAAAATTGTATAGTTTTTTTTTTGTTACACTAGCTCAAAAACCAATAATTCAAAATGGCGACAGTCTCGAACATTACATTTCCAATAGCTTCCTTTGTAACATTTTGGTTTGTTTGTTTGTTTGTTTCATTTTACGCCTTTTCTCAACAGTATTTCAGTCATATAGGCGGGTAGTTTCCTAACCATCGTTCCTGGACAGTTACACCAGTACTAGACTACCTTCCTCCTTGCTAAACTACCAAAGCATCTTCCAGGGGATCAGACTCATGCCAGAGAGGTAACTGGATTAGAAGTCATCGACTCTAACCCCTCGACCACGGACGCTGTTAAAACATTTTGGTACTGAATGTGTTATCCATGTATTCTATGTGTTGTAAAGTTGAATCCAACTACAACAGGTTATATAATCATTACTAGGGATTAAACGATGATCGAGTATAATCGAAAATTGATCGTTTAAGGGCGAGGTCGGCGACAATCGAATGCGAAATTTTATAATCGATTGTCGGTAGTTTTTTTTCTTGCTGTTATTTAAGCGGCTCACAAGGGAGATCACTGTATCAGAAAAAAAATGGCGTCGGACTCGCAGCATGCAATAGAAAACTTATCGCAAGAAAACCTAACAAAAAATATGGAACATGAGGACCAGGTCTTGTTCAATTACCCAGGAAAAACGCGATCCATTGTGTGGAAGTATTTTGGATTCACGAAAAAGGGGCTTGGACCAGCAATAAAAGCGAACTTGAACATGAACACAGCCATCTGTAAACTTTGCAAAAAATCGTACGCTAATAAAGGTAAAATGTTGCGTAAATTAAGTGCAAAGATATATTTAAATATTGTATTCTTTTAACTATAAAAGGTCAATAATGACCATTTTTGGACCAGAACCCTCGGGTATGCAAACTTTGCATACTTTGAAGAAAAGGGGGAATTTTGACTGTCAACAAAAATACACGTATTATTATAAATATGCGGTCTCACTAAAAAGCGTCATATTCTAATTGCAAAAAGCAAATTTCAATATGATATTGTTAAGCATCTGTTAATGCCAATTTACCTGAGCTTACAAAAAATTCTTTAGACTGGAATTTGTTTAAGATTAGAAAATGTAAAATTGTGGGCTTTTATAACTACTATTTATAACTCAATCATAATTAAAGGATGTTGGTGTATTTTCTGGTTTGAAATTATGAATAGTGGGTTATTTACGAAAACTGGTCTTCAATCCCACAGGCTTAGGGTATTGATTTAATTCATTTTAAATTCTTAAGTCAACTTTGTATTTTGTATCTTTTTTTTTTTTAGTAGAATATGAATCCATACATGTAGCCACTGATTGTTTAATCATACCTCCAGCCATACATTATTATGAAGAACTTCAGATGTTTTTAAGTTAAAATAAAATGTACTTATATTTCAAATTTAATTTCTTTCTCTATTTTCAGGAAATACAACAAATTTGCTATTCCATATTGATCACGACCATAAAAGGACTGCTTCTGGGGATGAAAATAATAACATTAAAAAAGCACCCACCCAGCCAACAATTCAGGCTCTGATTGCCAACCCTGGTCGTCTTACACAGAAGAGTAGAACCAACTTAGACGATGCATTATTAAAGTTAATTGTAGGAAAAGCCCTTCCAATCAGCCTTGTGAAAAATCCACACTTCATTGAATTTACCAAATTACTAGACCCAAGGTAACTTTATCTAATAGCAATTTTTAAAAATTAATTGCAGAACAATTTATACTTACAAGTTATTCAATTTAATTTACAAATGAACATTTAAATGAAATACAGTGGGCCTGAATGAGATTCACTTTTGAGGTTTTGAATAAAATGGAAAACAGAAATGATGTAACTAGTTTTTGTTATATAGAAGGTAGTGGAAATGCAAGATACCTTTTTGCAAATTGAAAGCTTAAGTTGTTAATCAATGATCATTAATTATTAGGTAGTAATTAAATTGGATTTCTCATGTACTTCTACTTTGCAAGGTCTGGCTATTTTCAACTGCTGTTACCAATTCACAGAATGTGAAGGCTGTAAATTTAATTTAACAAAAATATCCTGTTTTATTTTCAAGGTACAAGTTACCGTCTCAGCAAGATGTTGTGAAGTCTTTAAACACGAAGAAAGACCAGATGCGTTCAACCCTTAAGCTTGACCTTGGATCTGTATCAGATGTAGCCATAACACACGACGGCTGGACAAGCTGTGCCACAGAGAGCTATTCAGCTGTAACAGCACACTTTATTGATGATAAGTGGAATCTAAAATCAGCCGTGCTGCAGACTAAGAAGGTGGAAGGTTCACACACTTCAGAGAAAATAGCTGAAGGTTTAAAAGGTAGTATTTCTTCTAATTCTTTATAAATCACCTTCATTTTGTATTGACTGAATATTGCAGCTGCCATGAAGCCTATGATATTATTTTTCATTTACTCTCCTGTTACAAGTTAAAAGTGCAGTAAAAACATTTAATTTCCCAAGAAAATGGATAAATATTTTTGTCCAAAATTGAAAGAAGGGCAAGTCCATTTTAAATATTTACTTGTTAAGTATAATAATGCTTAAAAGTTTGTAGTCTGATAATTTAATTTCCTTTAAGTTTGAATATAACCATACAATTAAGGTTATTCAATTATAAAAAAACTGAATGAAAAACAAAAAAGTCTTGAATTTTGAATTAGAAATTTTCTGAATGTATTAACTGAGGGAGGTTATTTGATTATTTTTTGTAGAAGTACAGACGGAGTGGAAACTACCAACATCACTTACATTAGTAACTGATAATGCTGCTAACGAAAGAAAGGCTGCTGAACTCCTTGGATGGACACGATTCGGGTGCTACGGTCACCGTATTAACTTAGTGGTCAAACATGCTCTTGAGGTAACTGAGTTGAACAAGATTTTGGGTAAATCAAGACGACTTGTAACATTTTTTCATCAATCAACAAGCGCCACTGATGCTTTAATTGAAAAACAAAAGTTAGTGTTTTCAAACACACCAGGTTTGATTGGACATAAACTGATAACTGACGTTCCTACACGTTGGAATAGTACACTGGCAATGCTTGGCAGATTGGCAGAACAACTTCCTGCTATAATGAGTATTATCTTTGATACAAATTGTCTAAACAAAACTGCAATAAGCACTGTAAAAACCTACTGTCTAACATCTGAAGAACATTCTGTGGTGCAGGAACTCATTTCTGTTTTAAAACCCTTTGAAACCGCAACAACAATTTTGTGTGCAGAATCTAGTCCTACTATGCATAAAGTGCTTCCTTGTATGGTAAAAATCAAAAAGAAGTTGGAAGATGTTGAGAGTAATCCCTTAACATCTCCTGTTGTTAAGAAAGTTATTTTGAAAATGAAAGAGGAACTGTTAAAAAGGACTCAGGTGGAGGATGTACCCCTCCTGGCAGCTCTATTAAATCCTGATACCAAGAATCTCAATTTCTTGACAGCGGAGGAACAAGTGTCTGCCCGTCAGTTGCTAATGGACACTGCGTTAAATTTAAAGGTTGATAATGCTGCCCTTCCAAATGTTAAAGTAAAACAAGAAGAGGCTGTTAGTGCCATTTTACCTGACTTACCAGTGTTACCTGACATAGACCTAGAGTCTGACCAGAATGTTAAATTTGAATGTGAAAAGGAGGGTCCTAGTGAAAAGAAAATGAAATTAACTGATATGGATGAGTGGTTCGACGATGTTTGCTTCATAGGAGAGTCGCAACAACCCCTTCAGAACTTAATAGAGTTGGAGGTTCATAGATATTTTTCACACAATCAACCACAGAGTTCAAAGCAGCAAACGCTTCTGCAGTGGTGGCAAGCTAATCATTATTTCTATCCACAACTTGCAACTTTAGCCAAAAAGTACTTGGCAGTTCCAGCATCATCAGTACCAAGTGAGAGGGTGTTCAGCTTAGCTGGTATTGTTGTTGACAAAAAACGATCTAGATTAAAGCCAGATTTGGTTGATACGTTAATTTTTATGAAGATGAACATGGAAACATACTGGTGACCATAGTGTTAAAATCAGTTAATAGCTGTCATTAACTTGACAACAAAACATTAAAGTTTTAAATTTTAACTAGTTTAAAGTTTCAGTTAATGTGTTAATGTTAAATACTTATGAACTTCCAACTTTAGCAAGTTTTGAACAGTGTAATGCATTACCTTTGTTAGATGTAATATGCTCAAATTTAATGTATGAAATATAAATAATTGCTGCACAGTCTCTTTGTTAACATAAACAAGTTTTGAGAATACTTAAGAATAAGGTAGAAACTGTAGATATAATTTATTTGACATATACATCTTTGTATATAGTCATAATACAATACATGTAAAACATAAAATTAATCATAAAACATGTGTAAAAAATGAGGGTGGTAGGGTATCATTTTTGAGAAGAAACAATCATTTTGATGAAAATTATTTGCTTGGTAACTAGTGGTAACAATTATAAATGTTGATATTATTTGTTTCTTAGCAAAATACTTCAGTAAATGAGTGTATTTTTGCACTATATATAAAATATTAATACAGTAATATATAATAGAAAATTTAATATTATAAATAAAACTCTTCTTTATTAAACCATGTTGTTTTGTAACTTTTGTTATTGTAAATGGTTTCGATTATATAATCGATGATTGATCGAAAAGGGCTGACCGATTATTACCGATGATCGATTATGATTTTTGTCCGATTATGAAACCCTAATCATTACATAATATTGTATAATATGACTCAAAAAGTAAATCATATAAAATCTTCATACATATTTTTCAAAAAATATTAAAGGTTTAAACTAAATAATATCAAACATGTTTTGTTTTCTAATCATTCACTAGCATAATGTTGATAATAATTGTAGTGAGTGACTTTGTAAAACTTAATGATACACTCTTTAACATTAAACTTAGCATGGCCTATGCCTCTTTATATACAATATGGAGAATGGTTCTACTTTCACTTATACTGGATTTTAAACTTAGCGAGTTCTATAATCAAGTGGGAGATTTTTCTTCAAAAATTGGGAGATTTTAGAATTTTTAATGAACAAAGAAAAAAGTTCTGACATCAAAAAGGGGGAGATATCTTTTATTTGTGAAAATACCCTTTATTTTAAGAAAAATCTTTGAAACTATGGCTGCAGAAAGTGGGAGTCTCCCGCTGAAAGTCGGAGAGTTCACATGTATGAGTAGTATTTTGATTCTTTTAATTACTTTGTAATACTTAGTCATTATTAGTCGCCGGTAGAAACCGGCGACTATATTTGTAACAGTTTAATATTATACCTATGGTAGGAGAAGGCCTTAAAATCTGAGAATAAAAGCATAAAAATTATTGAACAATTAAAGACCACACTTATGTTTTAGTAATCTTTAAAATTCAAACATATAATAACGTTGCTCAATGAAATGAAATATACAAATATTGACATCTTAAAAAGCAACAGTGCATTTTTTATAATTCAAGGTTTATTCTGTATATAAGAAATTCCATATTTTAAACATTTTTGTAAAATGTTCTGAACTTATTCCTGGAAGGCGTGCAGTTATAGAGCGTACATATTCAGCTTTTAATTACATTTTACATAGTAAATGGATTATTTTTATGGGTTTTCTCATTTAGTTATGTTGGAACACTTAAGAAAGGTGGCTGGTCTTGAGATTTTGGTTTCCTACTACGTCCCCCTCCCAGGATGGAGTAGGGTTGCGCAGCCGACTCACAGCATACTGACAGGGAAATTCTATGATGCCTGTAGTTGGGAATGTATCATGTTTATTGACCAGAAGAATTTATCTGGTAATTGATAAAAGCAATTCATGGGATTGTCTTTTTAGCATTAAATCGGATCAGGAATGCTTATTAGAATTAAAGTTTTGGTTACGGCTGTTGATATGATGAAGAGCATATATAGTAAAATCTACAAATACAGTTTTTCACAATGATTGGTCAAACTATCATAGACTTAAAAGTTCAATTTTTAGGGAAGTAAAAGCTATTTCTTTAGCAATGGAAGCGTATGGTCAAATTTAAGCAAATAAATCGGTTAAGTGGCACTCTGATTTGCAGAGTTGTGTGTCAATAATACAGGCAGGTAGTTCGAAGTTAAGAGTTACAGGAGATGGCACTTGAAGTTTTTGAATTATGTTTAAAATGGAATATAGATTTATGCATTCAATAGGTACCCAGAGAAATTTGTTTTGTTTATTTGTTTCATTTTATGCCTTTTCCCAACAGTATTTCAGTCATATAGGCGGGTAGTTTCCTATCCATCGTTCCTGGAGAGTTACACCAGTACTAGACTACCTTCATCCGTGCTAAACTACCAAAGCATCTCCAAAGGATCGAACCAACGCCAGAGAGGAAACTGGATTAGAAGTCATTGACTCTAACTCCTCGACCACGGAGGCGGTACCCAGAGAAGAAAATTGTATTGCAGACAATATTAGCAAAATTTCAGATACAGACAGTTGGGACGTGACTTCCTATTTTTTCGAGTTTATAGATAAACAAGAGGGCCATGATGGCCCTGAGGTCGCTCACCTGTATATAGGCCCCCCCTCAACCCCCCCCCCCCCCAACGTTGCAGAGCCAATTTAACCCAAGGGCTTTTATTTGCACAAACTTGGTAGACACGCATAAGAAGATGTTTCATGCTAAACATTTAAGCTCTAGCTCATTCAGGGCTTTTTAAAAGAAGATTTTTTTTAAGTTTTTACTATACACATATAGTTAAAAACAATGACACCCCTGGGGCCGGGCCAGTTTTAACCCCAGGGCTTTTATTTGAACAAACTTTGTAGACACTTACTAGAAGATGTTTCATGCTTAATATCTAAACTCTAGCTATTTGGGTTTTTTCAAAGAAGATTTAAAGTTTTTGCTAAACACATATAAAGAAAATCAATGACCCCCGGGGCGGGGCCAATTTTGACCCCTGGGCTTGTATTTGAACAAACTTGGTAGACACCTATTAGAACATGTTTGATGCTCAATATCTTAGCCATAGCTCTTTGAGTTCTTTAAAAGAAAATTTTTTAAGTTTTTACTATATGCATATAGGGAAAATCAATGACCCCCGGGGCGGGGCCAATTTTCATCCCAGGGCTTTTATTTGACCAAACTTGGTAGACACCCATTAGAACATGTTTCATGCTAAATATCTTAGCTCTAGCTCTTTTGGTTCTTTAAAAGAAGATTTTTTAAGTTTTTACTATATGCATATAGGGAAAATCAATGACCCCCCGGGGCGGGCCAATTTTGACCCCAGGGCTTTTATTTGAACAAACTTGGTAGACACTCACTAGAAGATGTTTCATGCCAAATATCTAAGCTCTAGCTCTTTGAGTTCTTTAAAAGAAGATTTTTTAAGTTTTTACTATTTGCATATAGGGAAAATCAATGACCCCCAGGGTGGGGCCAATTTTGACCCCAGGGCTTTTATTTGAACAAACTTGGTAGACACTCACTAGAAGATGTTTCATGCCAAATATCTAAGCTCTAGCTCTTATGGTTTTTTAAAAGAAGATATTTAAAGTTTTTTCTTTCGGTTGCCATGGCAACCAGAGTTTTGCATGGAATTAAATTCTTTGAACAATTTTTAAAGGTGACCACCAAAGGAACATTCCTGTGAAGTTTGGATGAAATTGGCTTAGTGGTTTATGAGGAGATGTCATTTAAAGTAAAAGTTTACGGACGGACGGACGGACGACGGACGGACGCCGGACGAAAAGCGATCACAAAAGCTCACCCTGTCACTTTGTGACAGGTGAGCTAAAAATGGGGTCCTCATATCATAGATAGATTTGCTTCTTCTGCTAATACTAAATTGCCTCGTTTTACGACTATAAAACAGAGGCTGTAGATGCTTTTACCCAGGATTGGGCGGGTATCCTAAATTGGATAGTTCCATCAATTTATTTGGTTAACAAAACAATTTTTCATCTTCTATCTTGTGGTGCCCATGGCACTGTTATAGTTCCTAAATGGAAAAGCACCGCTTTTTGGCCAGTCTTATTTGATAAAAACCGGTTTAAAAGAGAATTTATTTTAGATAGTTTAGAGTTTAACGAAGGACAGGACCTTTTTGTTAAAGGGGTTAATGCAAAGTGTGTTTTTAGTTCTGAAAAGTTTAAAAGCAAAGTACTAGCAATTAAGCTTTAAATAA